AAACGACGAAGGCAAACGCGAATATACAGACTCAGTCGGCGCAGATGAAACGACAGTGGCGATATTCCAAAATTAAAGGCGAATAAGCGAGGATGTGACAATTATTAAAGGGGGAAAAATCTGAGAATGGAGTATACGGTAAAGATTGCTAAAAGGAAAATGAGATGCAGGGATCGGAATAGTGAAAAAGGCACATGAAGGAATACTACAAGGAATGAAAAGGATACGAAAAGCGTGAGATGTGCGATACACGAACGTCTTATCATTCCACAACAAAACATATCTACGGCCTGAGCGCAAAACAAAAAGTTGCGACTGTACACATTCGGCAAGTAGCGAGCGACTGCCCGCCAAAAGACAGACGTTCTCTTCCTTTGATATTTCCAAAAGACCGACGGGTAGCGGAGTGTGACCACAGAAAAATTGCCGTATGGCTAACAGCAAGCAACACATCACCCTCTGTACTCCCGAGCGGCCACTCAAGATAAACGCCGAATATGTGGAGTCGCCTTAAGCTTTAAACGGATGGCGCGACGCGGTGCGGTCTAGGGTCCGAGCGACGACGGCGACGGAAAGAAAAGAGCAGGGGGCGGGGCGGCTGCGCCCCTCGCAACTCCTTCGCGAGCCTTCTCGGCACCTGCCGCGGCGTCCCTGGGCGCGCTCCATTTATTACTCGCGTGATTTACGGCGCTCGAGACGCAGGCATAATACCCGCACACCCGAGTCGCCCGCGACAGGGCTCGGGGAGGGGGACGGGGGTTATTAAGGCCCCATCTGTCCCCGCCCGGGCTTCCTCGGGTCGTTCTCTATTTCCGCCCGGCACGCGCACGAGAGCCGTCATAACACAGCGCCCTATTTATAGGGCGCTCCCGCGGAGCCCGCAGAACGCGCGCGCCGCTCGGCCCAAGCCGGTCGCCGTGGCCGCGGCGGCGCTCGCTAACTCGACCAGGCCGGGGAGGGCGCCCGCGCCAGCGCCCACGCCGCCCCGACAACTGACGTGCGCATTCCGGTCCATTCATCTTCACGTCATTAGCGCGCCGCCCGGAATAGCCGCGCGGCGCGACGCGACGCGACGCGACGCAAGGCCCAACGACTCGCCGCCGCACACAAAGCCGCGGCGGCCTCGCCTCTGCGCAAAAAGCCGGCGCCGGGACACAATGCCCCGCGCGAGTTTGCCCGCCGCAAGCGCGCCCCAGCCCCAGCCCCGGCGGCGTCGGAGAGGGTGGGCGGGGCGAGGGCGGCGGGCCACGGCTGCCATCGCCGCCGGCCCTCTTTCAGAGGCGCCTTCGTCGCACGCGGATTTGTAGGAGGCGGGGTGGTGGGCGGAAGGGCGGAGCAATTAGTGTCATCAATCTCCAGAGACAGGCGCTCGCGCGCCGCAACCCCGCACCCACATGATCCCACCCCATTCCATCCCTCACTCCGCGGGATCTTCGACCGCAGAGACACGCGCGTCCAGGGCACGAAAGGTAGGACTAGTGCTGTTGGGTGTCGGAAAAATGAAGCCAAAAAAAGCAGGCCGCTTACAAGAACGAAGTTTGAATTCTTTCTTAATTAGGCAGATCCATGAAACTAATGATTTCATGTTATCAAGTGCATGAAATCGTGGCTGTGAATACAATATCGACAAATTAGTCGTTCTACAGAGGCGATGGGAAGACATCCCCGTACAACAGGCACAACGAACTCTTAACATTTCCCCCGAAGCAAGGCCGAAGGGTAGGGCAGCGGTAGGGGCAGGGGCAGGGGCAGGGGCAGGTGAGAAGCAGGAAACGAGCGGCCGGCCCGGCGCCGAGCCGTCGGGTAGATGGCGCCATTTTACGGTCGGAGACGGTTTATCGGCAGCGAGCGCCGCGTTACGGTCGCTATCTCCGGCGACCCGTCGACCCCGCGGCGGCAGCGCACCGGTTGTGGTACGAGTACGCGCGTTCGCAGCAGCCCGGCACAAGGCCTGCGCGCCCACGCCGCCGCGCGACAAAGAAACGACGCGTCCGGGGCCCCCGCCGCGCTAAATACGGGCAGCGAACGTGCACGCGCCACGGAGGCGGCGGCGGCGGCGGCGGAGGGGACAAGAGTGCGTGGGCCTGCCAAGGCCCCGCGCCCGTACCCCAGTTCCAGCCCACGCTGCCACTCGCTCGGAACCGGTCCGCGCGTCTCCGATGGGACGCCCGCAGTCTCGGCAGTCGCAGAGCGCAGCACAGGCTGCGCGCGGTGCTACTACAGCCCAGTACACTGGAATCCTTCTCTTTCCCCCGTCTTTTGCATTGTTTGATTTATTCCGTTATTTCCTATCATTCTTAGTGCCCTCCTTCCCGTCTCCTTCTGGCTGTCTCTTGATTATCCACATGCCACGTTGTATGAACTGAAGATTTGACCTCAAACCCGTAGCAGAATGTGTGCCTTGGTGACTCTAGGAAAGCAAATACAAACGTGTCTAAAATAATTAACTTCCAATTCCGCGACGAACTGGTCTGTAGTCAAAAATGAACACTGACAGGTAAACTCGTAGATTCTATTCTAGATCTCTTTCTACACACATCTTACTGTCCCCCGCAAAGAAACCTAGCGTCGGCGCAGCAACCTCGCACTCCCAATCGATGCTTTCCCCCGCACGTCCCGCCCAAAGGGGGAAACCGCCCCTTCCCCTGAGCGTCGCCCTACAAGTGGGATCACGGGCTCCGCGACGCAGAGCCTCGTTAATTAATTGGAGGCGTCGCCTCAATAACGCACGACCGCCGCCGTCGCCGCCGTCTCCACGCAAAAATTAATTCGACGCGGCGGCCTCGCCGCGCTGTATTTCACCGGCCAGGTAGTAATTCGACTACGAGCCCACCGCCCCAATCATCTCCGCGCCTCACCTATTTAACTAAAGAAAGGGCGATCGAGTAGTCAGGCCTAGTCCATTTCGGGCCAATACCATTTATGGATAATTCATAGCTGTGTTTCTATAAATAATATACATCATTGATACATTTTTAAAATAACTTGTATTAGGCTGATGACGCAGTATCTTCTTACATGCATTACATTTTGGAGGGACGTGTATTTCCCGTGTAATTACGGATATAATCATCCATTCAATGCTGAATTTCCTACATTTTATACACTAATAAAAAACTTTTAAACAAATTAATATTTTCTTAATATAATAATTTAAGAACAATAAATTGTTAACAACAGATAATTTAGCAGCTGTTCTGAGTATATAATTAAAACACATTTTCGATATTAATATAAGACTTATTTGTGAAGGAATTTTCCGAAACACAAGGATTTTGTTTAGATTCGCACCTAGCATGGCAACAATTTAAAGCGTCAAAACGCATTACGGCGCCAGAAGGTAGCAAAGCCGTGAGAAGTAATTTTCATTATCTGTCTGAGCTCTATACCTGCGGAGGAAGTCAACGTTTCCTTTTAATGAAAAAGAAACATTCCTGAATTCAGGAGGGAGGGGACGAAAGAAACAAAGAGGTGGTTGATGAGACAGTCGCATTCCTCAGAGCAACGCTTTCCGCAACTTTCGCTTGGTAAACGGTGTGCGACGGGACCGACCAAAACGGTGGCTCACTTTTCCAACCTCTCTCGCCCCCGCAACGAATTCCAGGATCCGGGGGCCCAAAGAAACGCTTTTACGGTCGGTCGATCCGCGGGAAAGCTTGCTGCTTCCTCTTTATGACAAGTAGCTGCCCGTCGCACTTAAAAACTTCGCGGACACACTTTGCGGCTTGCGCAACGAGCAGCGCTAGAACAAAAGACGGCGGGGCCACGGAGTACACACTGCGAACTCGGAGCTGACTCACTTGTCATTTGAACAGGCACACAAATGGGGAGACACCGCGTCAAACAAAAGCCGACACGTAAAATTCTCACGAAGAAATTATTTAAATGACATCACGAAGACAAGCTTTAGAATCGCTGGCCACAATCAGAATTCAATATATATACACGATAGGAGACGTAACCTTGATTTAAAGTAAATTAAAATAAATTAATTCGAATCTTCAGTATGGGATAATTTTCTTAAGGCTAGATTCTTAATACTTTAATAATATCAAACTTTGTACAACGCTGAGTACACTGAGTAGAATCTTGTAAATTTCGACTAAAATGTGAACTCTGTTTGCACTGGGGCGTTTACAATTGAATTTAAACGTTCCATTTCATGAGTAGGCCCTTTAACCTATCGAATGCAGGGTTAGAGTGAAAGCAAAATTTTAACCCCGATTTCAATTAAGACTTCACAAGAAACAAACGTTTTAGATGCAGCTGAGAATAATTTTCCAAGGTGCATTTTGAATTCTAACAATGTGATGAAATGCATTCGACGAAAGTGAGAACTCGAGAATGCCTCAGCGCTGATTCAAGGGGATTCCAACGAAGCACGAGGCGAAGCGACCAACACGCCGACTCTCGGAGGGGCAGCCACGGCAGCGCACCAAAGACCAGCGCGCGGACACAATTCCGGCCTTTCTTCGCACTAAATTTAATTTGCGCTCCTAATCTAGGGCGGCTCGGCGCCGCCCCGCTCCGCGCTCCTCTCGGTAGGCGGATTACGAGCCCGACGACGGCGCTCTGCTAGTGACGTCGACGTCGCGAAAAAGGAGCCCCGCAGCGAACTGGATCAGGTGCACTCCCTTCCGAGTAAACGAAGAAGTCTCCACTGTAGGTTTAAGCGAAGCGATTTAAGAAATACGCTGCAAAGTCATGTGCAAAGAAAACCCTCCAAATTATTTTATCGGATTCATCGTTTATGATTAAAGGTTCACGGCTGAGAATACAGTTTTGAACGAAAAATAAAATGAACAACACGTTATGGGCACTGCTTTGTAACGAAGGCCTCTTACTTCGACCGGTACGATGCCTCCTATGATCCTCATGATCTGAATTTGATCGCGCACGATGCTCGTTTTCGATTCATGATTACACGTATTCTGAACGTAACTTTTCTCTTAGAGTCATCTCTTAAAGCATGTAAAAAGTGAAGTTCTTAAGGAAATGAATCAATCTGAAAGAATCGCCTCGCCGTCTAAATGCAATGCGTGGCTCTGACAAGCCATGCGCAGCACAGCCACGTGCGGCGCCTGGCGCAACGCAATCGCCCGTCGGGGCGTGAGGGGCGGCCCAGTGGCCGCCGCTGACTCAGATGGCCCCGCCTCCGCCGGGACAGAGGCGCCGCTGTGCGCTGCACAAGCGCCGCCTGTGTGCGCCAATGCGGCGGGGTCACTTCCGCGCCGCGCCGTGCCGCGCCGCCCCCGCGCGCTGGCGTTCGCGGAAGAGGAGAGGGGGCGGGGCGTGAGAATTCGCGCCGGCCGGCGACACGGGGGAAGAGGTGGTGGTGCTGAGTCAACGCCGAAAGCTCGACAACAGAACCTTGCGCCGTATGCGCGGACGCTGTCAAGAGGCCTCCCAGCTGAAATGCATGCACACAAGTATGGGACCCAGCTGCGCTGGGTGATCAATAGCTTTCAATTGAGCTTGCGCGGGCTGATGGATCCGATAACTACTTCGCATGTTTACGACAGCTCGTTTTCATAGGCGGTATATTCAAATTACAAATAAACACACCATCCAGCTATTAGATAGTAATGGTAGATAACAGAGTCATAAAAATTTAGTAGGTGAATAGTGACTAATTTACTACCTTTATTCTACAAAACAGACGTAAACAAAGTCCTATTTTTCACGTCCCCTATCATTCACACGTAAGTTATAAATACATGTATCTTTGCCAGAGCTGTCTTGCGCTGCCTCTCACAAACAAATTAATACGGATTATTGGAAATCGAACACACTGATCGAAAGTTCGCCAAGAGACACGAAAAATCTTTACTTCTAAACAACAGAATACAGCATTCCAACGGTGTTTGCAACAGAATTTTAGGAAGGCAGTGACCCTGAGATACTGGGTATCATTACGCGTGTAGTAAATTACCCAGATGAACAGGATGATTTTAGGCACGAAATCACGAACGACACGCAATAACCCGCTTAGCCTCCCGCGGCTGGGAAGAGCGGAGCGATCACCCAACGCAACTGCAGGCCGAGTGCAAAGAGAGGGGGAGAGGAGCGGCACCTACCTGTACGTCGAAGTTGGGTGGGAGGACGCCGGGCGAGTCGGCCTGCTGCTGGGCGCCGGCCGGCTGCGGGGGCGGCGCCTGCATGACGGCGCCGGGGCCGGGCCCGGGGCCGGCGCCGGGGCCGGGGGCCGGGTAGCGCGGCGCGGGTGCCTCGGAAGGGTCCAGCCATGCCGCCGGGGCCCGTGCCGGCGGGCTCGATCAGCACGTGGTCGAACGGATGCGCGCCGGCGGCGGCGGCCGCGGCTGCGGCCCGCTGCTGCCGCGGGCCGCCACGGCGTCCAGGTGCGGGGCCAGCTGCTGCGGGTGCGGCGACGGGTGGTGGTTTGCCAGCGGATGGTGGTTGGCGAGAGCGTGGTGGTTGAGCGCGTGGTGGTTCAGATCGGTGGTAGCGTCGGGCCCTGGCTGGCCCGCGCCGCCTTGGGGACCGCCGCCCTTGCCCTGGGGTCCGCCGCCCGGCCCCACCATGCCCACGGGTACGCCGGGCCCGCCGTTCTTCGCCACGTCCTCCTCCGCCGGCGACGGCTGGCGGCTGCCGGGCGTGCGGCTGCGGACATACACGCGTCAGCCACTCCTGCTCTTCGCTACTCATTCAAATATTCTCCTGTTATAAATTCACAAGGACACCAACATTGACTGTCATAAGGCTTCGAATGGACCTTTCCTTTACATTTTCAGTAGGAGCTGGAGTTCAGTGATCTGAAGCCCATTATCATACTGCATTCTGAATTTCGTAACCGTACATGAATATTATAAAGCAACATTTTTAGATGTGGTAGAAAAGAGAACTCTAAAATATTAAATGAATTTTACAAGCAAGCGCAGGAAATTTGAAACCATTATTGTAATTCTCGGATTAGAACCGAGTGTATTGCGCGGTAATTGAAAAACTCATGTTTGAAGTGAGGCAAACAAGAGAGGATACTATTCATGCAAGGGAAAAAACATTCGACAGAATCATCGTATCGGAGACTCAACAGAAAATATAAATATTTGTAGAACCAGTATTTCCTGATTGTACCCTCGACGATTGAAAGAAACATGTTCTCACAATTCCCGCCAAAGCACGAATCTCGAGAGTACATGCAACGTTCGTTGTTCCCCAACGGCACATCAAGTTTGTTTCCATGCGCATCAGCCCAGAAAACCTATCAATTCCACAATCATCGCGTGTCATTTGCCACAAGCTACGCATCTCGCGTTCCATCTCTCAAGAGTGCAAATTCGTCAAAAGCAACACCCAGCGACATCTACTTCCAAATGGGGCGAACTGAACGCCCGGCGCTCTAGCGGCGAACGGAGGAACCTAACCCGTGAGCGAAGCGCAGTTCGCCGCGCCGCCGCCAGGTTGCGGGCGCGGCCGGCGGGCGCGCGCAGCAGGTGAACGACTCCTGCCGGCTGCACGCGCCCGCCGCCTCCCCGGCATCCTCGCTGCCGGGCCGCGGCGGCCAGGCAGCGGCCGGCACGGTGGCCGGCGCGGCGACCGTCGCGTCGGGTGCCTCTGGCATTTTCCGTGCAGCGGCGGTGGCTTGCGAGCGAGGCTCCCACTTTACGACCGGGATTTACGGCCCGTGCGCGGCGCGCTCGCGAGACGCGGCGGTGGCCGCAGAACACGCCTACGTGCTTTACCCAACAGTGCGCGCCGGCCATGTGGGCAGTGTGCATGGGCGCAGCTTACACTGCTGACTGAACGTCTTTAATCCTACCAAACAGAATCCCTTTAACACTCCATATGGAAGTAAACTAATGAAGATATGATTAAAATTAAAGATCTCACGGTTTTAATTATATATGCCATATCTTCCTATTTCTGCTAAGAAATCCGACCCCGCTGGCTATTTCGCATTTCGTCGTCTTCCAGAAAAAGAGTACCTCCGACCCTCCGTGTGCTTTTTGGTTGGTCAATTTCAAAGCCATCCGGACATGACAAAAACATTTTGAGCGAGTTCATCAGACCGCCAGACAGATGCGACAGTTCAGAAATAACAGACCGTAATCACACGCAGGAAATTACGGACTCCAGACACGGATGATTGGCCGCACGGGAACAAAGGCGCGAGCGAGCGCGGCGGCGGCGGCAGCGGTGGCGGCATGGCGTGGCGTGGCGTGGCGTGGCGATGCGGTGCGGTGCGCGTTCGTCCAAAAAGCAGCGGGGCCATCGAGCTCTGAGTGGACTTCCGGCTGCGCGGCGTGACGCAAAGCGGCGGCGGCGGCGGCGGCGGCGGCGATGCGAAGGTCGGGGGCGCCGCGAGGAGCGCGGGCGGGCGACCCACGACGCCATGTGACGCGGCGCGGGAACAAGTTCGCGTGTTTGCTCTGATGCAACGACGCGCGTGCAATATGGAGAATCGACTGCGTGAGGTGGAACAATCAAGCCAAACCGATGCAGCGATCTTACAGTTTTATTGCTCCCCGTCTAGCCAACCGATCTAATTGTATGACTAAAAAGAAATACCGACACATTACACACAACTATTGACTAACATTTCCATTACAACCGAAAATTCAATAAAAATAGATCCGACCGTTTTAAAGCTCCAGACTTTATTGCGGCCATTACGTTTCTTTGACGTCAGCGCAATGATATGTAATTAATAAAAGTATTACCGGCTAGAGCAGAGCAATGTATTTCTTACAGTGTGAGTGAAAAACCATTATTGTTAGAAGCAATAGCATTGTCTATCTGCAGTTTTTACCATTGGCGTACGTGATGGGAAAACTCCATCGAACCCCATCCCTTAGGAGATTTCATTTTAACGGTAACTAGACAATAGTTTCTTAGTTCATTATCTAATGGTAATTGATGTATACCCCTCGTTATCCAACGAGGACGAAAACCACCACCCCCTCCGGCATCGCCGCCGCCGAACGAGTCTTGCCATCGTCGATCAGCACAAAGGCTCTCTTGTGGGGGCTTCTAACACGGACGTTCTCGTGACTTCGGATTCGACCTACGTCTCCACTTTCGCAAACGGTTTACAGATGCTCTCTCTTTACGGACATCACGAGACCTAAATCCACTGCGTCAGAGGACGGTATTTTGCATCGGAAGCCACTAAGTAATTCGCGCCTTCCAATTTCGCACGATCGTGGATCGAGTTACTTTCAATGTACGATAACACGGGACTCCAAAACCTGTATTATAGAGACGTCCTATGGTCTCCTCCAATTACGAATACCTATAATGGTTTTTCCACTACTCAACATCACGTAATGTTCAATACTTAACATCTCTAGTACATCCAACACAAGTTCGCAGCCAACCCTTACTACCAACAGTGGCAGAAATTAACCACCACTCGTACGAGTGTCGTTCGCATACCGGGGAGTGAATGGGTTGCCTTCACACTATCTGTGGGTCGTTTCCGGAATCGCCACCTTCGGCGTGAGAAAGCGCGGTTCGAGACCGCCGACGCTTGCTGGGCGTGGGCGTGCGTCCGTTCTGGCGGCGCCGCTCAGACGGTGCACACAAAGGCGCCAGCTGCGCTTCCCGCCGCCGCATGGGGCGGGGCGGGGCGGGGCGTCGTGGGCGGCGCGCGGCCGTTGAGCGTGCTTCCCTAATTAACGCAGCGTCCGGCGGCCGTCGCCCCGCCCCGCTCGGCGTACCGCGCGCGCCGCCTCGCTCACGCACCCAGTAGCCCGCCCGGCCAAGGGGCTAGCGACTCATTGATTATCGGAGCAAATCATATGCGCCTCGCACAACTGGGGACACGCACTCGGACGCTGTTCGCTACGAGACAGCTCTTCTACTTAAGTGATGATCTTCATTGCTCTCCCATGTTCATCCTGACCGATTTGGTCGAAAATTGGTATTGTTTATTCTGGTGGGAACGTTTGCGGGAGATCTCCGACAAATAAACAGTAAGTACTGTAGTAATATTAACTATAGGTTTTCTTCAATAACTAACTTCATATACGACCCTTTTTTACTATACCAGTCTTCATTCTTATGCCTATTGTCTACAACTCTATAATCCCTACCTTATATTGGGCCAGCCACCTAAATGTGAGGAATATAATTAATTTGGAATTAACTTTGGAACACCAAAAATACTTGATTGGCAATCCACTTTGTGTCATGCAACGTATCGCACACAAAACAGTCGTGTGTAATTTTGTAATTCAGAAATAGCAAAATTAATTTATAAATACGAATTTAATTGTAAGAAAGGTCCACTCGTTGCCTTAACGCCCCGACACACACACACACACACACACACACACACACACACACACACACACACACACACACACACACACAAAAGAGCCTCTGAAACGATCTCGCGCAACGCCACTCACTTGAAGCCCTTGTCGTCGTCGCCCAGGCCGTTCTGCACGATGCCGTTCTGCTGCGCGGCGCTGCCGTTCTCCGCGTCCTTCTTGCTCGCCTCGAAGGGCGACGGCGCTTTGTCTTTGTCCTTCTTCTCGTTGTCGCCGGGATTCTGAAAACACACAACAAAAACAAAACGGTCAGTGGGGGCTGCGAGGGCCGCCGGCAGCCAACGCCGCCGCTCTCCGCCCGCTGCCACGGCGCACTCGCACAGCACACGACCTTCCCGACGAGCTGAGTAAGCCAAAAAATGGCTCAGCGTAAATCAGGCACGGCGAAGGAACGCTTTACAATCGACGCGTGAGTCACTCGATTCTCTTCTGTCAGAATTAGGAATCTATTTTTTAATGCCTCACCGAAGTGAAAATTACGAGCAAAGAAAATTGACAGGGACCAAAATATAATATTGCTCAAATATGCACAGACAAAGCAGATAAAAATTGAACGATTTGGTATTTCTGAGCAAGTTATAGTATGTTTGTTTATAAAGAAAGTAGTATTACATTTCCGCAACAGTATTGCACTTATCTGCGTATTGAAATCTGTTTAGTTGAAACAAGTAAGTTGTAGAAAATTAGAAGTCATTGTGACAGTTTCCATTACCGCCATCTCCGTAGTGGGTCGGAAACCTGTCAATCGCGATTCACGTAACATATTAGTCATTCCACATGCCCTCCTCGCGAACAAAATATTTGGAGACGCCACAAAAATAACCCTCACTTGGGATTTATATTTTACAATTACAATTACTCTCCCACTGTTTAATACGTGATCTCCTGTCGACCCGAGAGCGCGCTTTACCATTAAAGCGGCCAATCACGGAAAAGTTGGAAAACGCATCGTCTCAATCGATTGCACTGCTCCGCTCCCCTCGATCTGGTCCGTTTGGTTGACAGCCCCTTCCCCCAACGGCAGGAGTCTCTTCCCGGTGCCAGGACCTGTGACGCGACAAGCAAAAAGTTACTTCAACGAACTGCGCAGTTTACGATTGGGGCGATCAGAGGAAGGTGACAAGAAACTACTGCCTGTTCCGCATATACTGTTCATTAAACATGCATATGAAATCTGAGTCGAGACAGCATCAATATTCATCAAAATCAGGATACTCTTAAGAGAGACAATAAACTTCAGGCGTGTTCAAAAATAATCAACTCAATTTGAATTCTAAGGTCCTGTGACAAGTAACTACACGAAATCCTACAACAGGGAAAATCTTGTGATTGTTCACTTTTCTAGTTAATTTGGTAAACATTAGGAAAATAGAACGCACTAATTTATGCGGAATAACAGGGGGAGGGAAATTTAACAACCGCCGACCGACTTGACGGAAGGACGCCGCATCAAATAATCTAATACACACACACGCCCATCGAATATTAATTGGAAATTCCACAGGAGCGGCCTTCGCGCCGAACGACCACGAGGGAGGAGTGGGGCGCGGTGGGCTTGTGTGGCGGGGTGAGCCGGGAGCGCAAGGAGACCCTGAAGCCGAAGGACGCGAGGCGGCGGCGGCGGCGACGCAGTGTCGGCGGCGGCGCCCCCGCCCGGGGGTGGGTATTGATTCCGTGACCGTTGAAGGGAGGCGGCAGCGGGGGCTAGGGCGAGGGCGGCGTCGCGACGAAGGGCCACCCGAGCCCGGACGCGCCCAGTCTCGCAGAGGGGCAGGGAGCGAACGCGGAGGGCGAGGCTAGTCCTTTGCGCGCGCGTCTGCAGCGTGTCTCCCCCCCCCCCCGGCAGGCTCCACTGAAAGAGTGCTTCTCCCCTGGAGAGCGACGGCGTCCCGCCGCTCCATCAGCATTCTGTCGCTTTTAATCCACCCGGAGGAAAAGAGGCTCTCGGGCACGCAGCAAATGCGCAATTCTGTTTGTCACTTCTCCAAGTCCTTTCCAAAAATTACAGTCAAACAAGATATACGCCGTCTCGGGAACTCCAATACTTCTCGCATCATCATCAGCAAATATAGAAAGTGAGATTCCTTAATACCCTTAAATGTGCACGTGATAACGTGCTTGTAACTACGTGTACACTTCTGCTTCTGGGGACAACACTTGCGCACTACCCATTCCAACTTTACGCTTTGCGTTTCAATAGCACTACGGGTAATGTTATAGCGCAGCGAGAGTTACGCCGTCACAGCCGCCGCAACGCGTTGATGGACAGATGAAAGCACGCAAGTGAACAGTAGGTGGCGTCGGTCGCGGCGTAGCACTCTCGATTGTTCCCAGCCATAAACACGAGAATTTCTCCAGTGTCGGTTCGAAACAGCGCAATTACTATACAATTCGTAGCGGTTCGTGATATCTTTTGCGTAGTACGAGCGCCTCGTTCTCTCCGAAGTGAAATATACATCGTCGTTTTCCTCGCTCGTTTTGCCCCGCGAGCGTCGCCCATTGGCGCGGAATCGAGTGGAGTGGCGCGGCGCGGCGCGGCGCGGCGCACCCGCTGCCGGGGCCATGAATGGAACGGAGCGCTCGCGGGCCGTGAGGGTGCGGGTGCGGGCGGGGATTTACCGGGGCAAAGAGGAGGCGCAGAGGGAGCAGGACGAGCGGCGCAGGCAGGGGCGGGGACCCCTCCAGGGCGCGGCGCTGGGCGCGGGCGGCAGGCAGCGACGCGCGCTGGCGCGGGCGAGTGGCGGGCACCTGGGGCGGGGGCGGGGCCACGGGCAGAGGTGGCAGTTCCCGCAGCACAGCCACCGCCACGGCCACCGCCACCAGGTCCCCTTCCTCCTCCTCCTCTTCTCCTCCGCCCCCGTCGTCAGCGGTGGCCTCCGCGTTCTCCTGCCGCAGCCAGCGCCGTGGGGCCGCGAGGCCTCGCGCACGGGGAGCCCCGCCCTTCCCTTGAACCTTCACCACACGCGCACTGGCAGACGAAAGTCGGCTTCGACGGGCCCAGAATCTCTGCGCCGCATCAGGCATCGCTCAATCGCGCCCGCGATACTTAACGGATCTGCATCTTATTGGTATTCTATGACCCGAAATTCACTGAAAGTATTACTGAAGCACATCCGTGTATCTCTTTTCGGTATCCCATTCTCTTTCCTTAAAGCTGCTTAACTTCCAGATCCCTTTCATATAAAGAAGGCGCCACACATGTTACATTCGGCGAGTATCGAGCGGCTGCTTATCCAATGTCAAGTGGTGAGGATAACTTGCTTGCTCTTAGCCAGACGCCAAACGTTTAGTGGTCATTCTAACCCCAACGTGTCGGTCTCCTGTGGCACATAAAAAAGAAACCCAATAATCGTCTCGCACTCGGCTTCACTGGATTAGGCAAACAGTGGCTCCCTACTCGTCGAATCCCGTATGTTTGGCGCCGCCTTAAAGGATTGTAACGTAATTCCAAACACGCGACAGTGGTAGAGAGATGACTTGCAAGGAATAGAAAGATTGATTGATTTATGACTTCGGGCGTGTCAACTGCTACAACCATTAAAGTCGTATGTGTAGTGTAAGTTGTTTTTCACCGGGAGGTGACGGCGATCTCCCCCCCCCCCCGCTGATGGTGAGATCCAGGACCGAAATAAATGTTGGCTAGCGAGCTTACCCTCAACCAGGTATCTCACCCAGCAGCTGGGCACATCCCCAGCCGAAACGAGCTCTAAGCTCTCGACAGTGGAGTAGTATAGTGCATGCAAGGGTAAGTATGCGAGTGTAATGAGCCGAAAATAGGACAAGGAAGGTACGATCGTGATGCTGGCCCGTTGTTAGGGTAGTGTTCCCGCATTCATTGATGATGATAGAACAAACCATGGAAAACAACCGATCAGAGCAGCCGGTGTCGAAAATCCTGCCACCGGCGAGACTCGAGCCCTAGTACATCCCGGTCAGAGGCACTGCAGCGATCTCAGTTCAAGCCTTAAGCCACCTCTCCCTGTGAAAGGAATGGACTCTGTTGATTTCCCCAAGACGTGTAACAAGCCGTTTTATCGCCTCAAGGCCCTCCGACCCGGCCACAGGAAGTAAGACTTCGATGTAGCACCTACCCAAATTAATATCCGTTCTTGTACGTGTTCCTGCCAATTAGGATTCCTCTTAATGAGCAAGACGGTCGCAGCAGGCGAGGGGAGGACGCGAATGAGCGTTTGAGGAGTTTTCAAGGATTCTTGAGGCCAACGAACATCCACGGATGCTCCGCATTAAGAAACCACAACTTCCTCCGACAATGGCTGCTCGCCAGTTTGCACAGAATTATTATATGTTCATTTCTGCGATTCTTTTAGGACGGTTTACAGAAATAAACTAGAACTATTTCAAACTTTTGAAATTTTCGAAAATTTATAGTTTAATTCATCCTACACTATTTTTATTTATCCTACACTAATTCACCTTTGTTCTTCTCGTTGAAACAAATTCGAGCGGGTTTCGAGACCTGTTTAAAAATTCAAAGATAGTGTGAGAAACTACTTACTACTTAAAAAACACACACACACACTTTAAAAATCTGATATTTTGGAACACTTTCTTTAAGAAAACAATCCATCAAGATTGTAGTTTGGTAATGTTAAAGTAACAATTTTAAAAAAATAAGAGAGTCCGCGGGAAGTAGGGACAAGAGTAATTTTTTACCGTCCTTTGACATAAGACATAATGAATTTCGAATCGTTCTTGAGAATATTGTTCAAAATATTGCGTATATTTCACGCAAAATTCTACGATAAGCACTCATTTTCGAAAATTGTGCATCAATTCATTTCAAGAGATCTTTCAACAGATTTTATTTACGGGGAAAATCTTGAATATTGTAAAAATGCGGAACACATTTTTTGAACTATTGGAATTTTAGAAATTCTAGGATTTTAACGAAAATGATAACTGGCCATTTTTTAAGCGTTAAACGTTTTCGTTACCCGAGGACAAAAGTTTCAAAATTTTGATCTATTTTCGAGAAAATTTTGAAAATGTAATTGAGGCTTTATGTAAAATACTCGCAAAAACTAAATATGAGTTTTCAACTCACAGGGTCTCGAGTTCGTTCACATCAATCGGGGAATATCAATTTTGGAGAAAATAGTCTGAACGGTTTACGCACTAGCATTAACAATCGTAGGCAGGCAAACAGACGTTATGTCGTCAAACGATTTTTCGGTATTAAGGTCCCACAAAACACGGATTCTGACTACACATGTTAGGGAAAATGATTTATTACATATAGGAACAACACTTTCCGTTTCCAGGGCCGAGCAATAAGTTTTTCTGTCGAAAAATCGCAGTTTTCCGGCGCCCGATTACACTACTTCCTAGTCTTACGAAATAACACGAGAGAAAAACGAGAATTTAACGGACCACAAGGGAAACAAAAACAAAACTGCATTCAACCATTCACTGAAAGTGAATAAGCAATATATTTGCGCAGTCACAATCACGCGGAAACGTAATCCAAAGAAGACTCAACATCAACAAACCTCTGAACAAATTATTTTTAATAGTATTTTAGAAGTTTATGACTTCCATTGTAGTGACAAATAGAACAATTTCTTCCACACTTCTTTCAGAATTAATGACCAAACCCCGCTTAGCTTTACCTCTCTGAGCGCCCACCACTCGAATTGCACAGTTTCTCATCATGCTACATAATTGTACAAGAATCTGTCGCTTCGCAAACTGCGCATCAACCGTTTACCGCGGTTTTTAATGTCCACGCGACCTGGGAAGGAGAAGGGAGAAGTGAGGGAAGGAGAGAGGAATAGGCACCTAACGGGCGTCGCAGCGCCCCACGCCGTCGGAGCGTCGACCCGCGCACGGAACGCGTTCGAATTGCCACCATTTCGGCTGTGAGCGCGCGCGCCCTTCCGCATGAATAATAAATTGACCGCGAAAAAAAGGAAGGGTATCGATTCTGTCTCCCGGCGCGCCGCCGGCTTCGCAACCCAATTGAGTCACGCCGAACGAAGTTGGAAATTGAAACATAAGCGCTCTAGCCAATCTCGGAGCGCCATGCTGTCGGGTGACGATGTGCCCGGTGCGTCAAAACGTCATCGACTTTTTCCACTACGCGGCTACGTCAATTTGCGTCAATTCCCAGTGCTACAGGGAAGTGAATCGTCTGTGAGATTTTGGGATTGGTTAGAGGAGCTCAATGAAAAGTACAATGAACACAAACGTTAACAATGCGTTAAAAGATTTTTTTTTTAATGAATACTTTCAATAACAAATAAAGACTAAGTCCGCTTCGATATTCTGGCAGTGATACGTAGACGGCCACGACTACGACCAAATTGCCACTTGCACTATTAATCATTTAAAAACAAATACTGGGTTATCAAGGGCAGACGAGAAAATCATTCTGGGAACTACCCTTTCCAGTTTATACCAAATCCCGCCCCCAGCTTCCCGCTAATTTCATCCCACATTTCCTCCACGCACTGAGCCTGCAACGTCGGACACACGAGGCCAACCATTGCCGTCGAATGCCGCCTGCAAAGCGCGCGAGGCAGAAGCAGAAGCGGTGACGGTCACCCCAGCGCCCTCGAGCGGAACGATCGCGCGCCGCGCCTACTGCCGGACCCAAACAAACAACGCAGGCCGGCAAACGTCTCGGCCGGCCCTCGCGCCCGCCCATCTGCCGGATTCTCAACACACTTCTCGCAATGCCTTGCGACACCCCTTTTCAAAACGACGCGGCTCTTACTATTTAGACGGGGAGCGCCATTTTTTCTGCAGCGTGTTTACATCACGCGAGAATGTATTTATCATTGACACAATTTAGTCGCAGATAAGCTTTGTGCACGGCGAAATTGTATATCAACTACTCTTGCTGTGTTGTAGGTTTCTTAGATTAGAATCTGATCGTTTTATCATGAAATTTGAATTGCATCTACATAAGTTCATATTAAATAGCCTCCCAATAAATTATAAGTTTAATATGATACATCAAAAGAACAGCTTTTGATTTTACTGAATTGAGACTTACACCGAAGGCTACTGCTGTCAAATAATCAAATTTAATTTAATTGAAGATATAATAATCCACTATATTACTGTGACGTTTCTACTTTTGAGACCGTCTAAAAAGTATTTTATTAATTTACCGTTTTATTAAAATTAGATTAGACGGATACGAAAAATCGGCTCCTCCTCCCCCCCCCCAACCGGCGGAGCACCAGAAGGAGTCTTACGGCGAATGACAGTTACACGCAGGTTATCCGAAAATTCTTTAACTGGATCTCTCGAGGTTCGACTCAAAAGAGGTTCAATGTAATCAATGTATCAAATTTAGATGTTGCACTTAAAAGAGCATTTGTGTAGTTACACCAGAATTCTTTGTAGTTGTAATTGCTCAAATTCATATGGTTTACGTGCAAATGGAAATACTTATTATCTTGCGACGTATTTAATGCCAGTAAACGCTACGTCTCGAATTACTGTGTAGAAAATAAAAATGCAAACTCACATTCCATTACAATACCGATCACTATCCCCCAGGATCCACCCCTTCTCGCTGCCCTCGTTCAGCTCAGCTCGAGAGAGTGTGTCGAGAACGACAGTGATAACCACGCAGGAGTATTCGGAAAGAAGGGCCAAGACTCCATGTCCCATGCGGAGGAGGGCGGCCACCGGTCCGACTGGTCCGAAAGGATACGCCGCGCGTGAACCCGAGACGGGTGAAACCCGAACCGAGGTGCGCACTGCCCGGGGTCATTTGAATAATACCCGCACTTAGGACTCTTAAGCCTTCTCTGCCTCCCGGTACAAGAAAACACCATCCACCCAGGAGATAGATCCATATTAAAATGACACGATGGAGGGAAACAGATTTTAACGATTCATTAGTTCAGACCACGAGTGCATCCAGAGCAGACAACTGATTTTATTACACACAATGAAAGACATTTCAGATACTGGAAGGGCAAGATCTGCTCGCTATTTATTCCTTCTACTCTCTTTATTAACTAACTTTGGTTTGGATTTTTTTAAAAGAAAATTTCTGCCTTTATCGCGAAATTCGTCGAACAGACAATGCCGTCGATACGCCCCACAGTAACCTTAGATTACATAGTACTTACAACGGCTGATATTACAATACGTGAGCGAAGAAATCTAATAAACTACTCATGAATTGTGTGGTGAACATTATTTGTTGCACATCGTAAATACTGTTTGAAGCAAGTACCAAGTACCATTAAGGTGGTTTTAAAATCAATTAAATCCGTGAAAATGCATTAAAAATGAAGTAAAAAGGTAAAAAATGACTGGGTTGAAAGCAACGAAAAAAGTAAAACGACATAAATCTGGGTCATTTCCTTTTGTCATAAAATACGATTATTTTCTATACTAAACGGCATTATATTAATGTGAAAAGAAATAAAATTACATTACATTAAAGTCCACCCCTTAGTGATAACAAAAACAACTTTCCGTCCCGCCGGAATTCTCTATTAATTCCTCTAACCTTTCCATTCGACAATCGTGAAGTTACGCACCAAGCCCACGAACGCTAGTAAGCGACCGATTGTCTCACAGATTTTACTGCAGACCGCAAAAACGTCCCGAGACGCAGAGACGATGGTAATTACAAGGCTTGAACATTGCGTGGGCTCTGTTATACCGTCGCAACCGAAGGTTTCCAACCCACGAGCAAGCGGCAGAAACTAAACGGGCTGGGAGGAAAGCGGCCGAAAGAAGAGCCGAGAAGAAAGGAAAGGGGATCTAGGGCGGGGCAGAAGAAGCAGCTGCGCGGACGAGGCAACGGGTTGTGGGCAGGCGGCGGTGACAGCGTCGCCGCTCACAAGAAACACCCCCCTTTTTGTTGTAATTGTTCAAATTCATATGGTTTACGCGCAAATGGAAATAACAGTGACCAGTGTTTCATGCTGCGTACTATTCTTTCAGATTTTATCATTTTTCGTTATTTAATTGGCTTGCAAACATGGTGAATTTTTAAGAAGACGGATGGTAATAAGGGCTTCAAATTTTTCAGTAATATTTGTAATAAAACTGATGTTTTTCTCGTTACTTTATTACTAGGGGGTGGATGTTAATGTTTTTCTCTTTTCACTTTAGAATAATGCTGTTTAGTATACATATTCATTTGTGTTATGAAAAAACACCATTGCGCATTCTAGTAATATTTTATTTGTTTTCACATTTTTCGTCTATTTCAAATAATCAGTATTCTTTATCTTTTAACGTCATTTTTAATGCAGTTTTCGCCGATTCATCGATTTAAAAATAATTTTAATGATACTTGCTTAAAATAATAATATTATGAGGTGCCACAAATGTTCACCACAGAATTCCTGAGTAGCTTATTCGATTTCTTCGCACATTGCTCGTATATTGTAATGACAGCCATTGTGAGTATGTAATCTAAGGTTCCTGCAAAGTTTATCGGCGCCATTGTGAATTCGGACGATTTCGCGTTAAGAAAGAAAGGCAGAGATTTTGTTTTAAAGAAGAGTCCAAACACTAAAGTTGCAATCTGAGTTCATTCGAACAAAAGGAAGACGCTTCGATTACATCAGTATCATATCCTACAGCTTGAGTTGATCATCTGAAGTGGCTTTGAAAAATAAAAGAACGTCCTTTTTCTTTGTTTTTAGAGCATCTTCAAAACATTTCATTGATCATCTTTGGAATTGTTTTAGCTCATCAAAATCCGCCCCTATTTGTTACTGTCGTACTACATTTCTTATATAAAATATAAGATTAGTTCACACCCCAATTAGCTTTTTAGTTAGTTCCAGTTTAAAAAAACCAGGATGGACTAAACATAGTCAATGGCTCAGTCTCTGCAAGGTCATCCGGCAGAAATTCGATTTGAAGGAACTCCACGATAAAGACCTATCACAGGAACATGGCAGTCCCATTCCGATAGAGGTAAGCGTCCAACCAGCTTTTCAACTGTCGAAATGCAACTGCCGGAACTCGCACCTAGACCCTTCCGGTCCAAGGAAACGTAGTTTTGTTGCATTGAAGGATATTTTCCTCGCTCCTCCAACCCATTTCCATGCACAGGGCCAAGTTGACACGGCACTTACCAGCACGAGCCCGCGCAGGCGCGGTTCCAACTCCTTGGACGTGGGCGACGTCGCCAAGACGTACTCCACCATCTTCACACCCAGGCCGCCGGTCTCGGAGGAGCGCGGAGACAGGATGGAGCCCGGCTCGGAGCCCGGGAACGAGCCGGAGCGGCGCGGCACCATCGTGATGGGCTGCGACACCGCGTGGTCTGCAAAACAAGGAAACCAACAGTCAGGCACAGGAAGTGGATTCACAAACAAGCAACAGGCGAATTGGCGTACTGGCGTTTCATGTTAAAGGCCTTCAAGGCGACGGGCAGCGCAATGTACGATGAAACCGTAGCACATTATCATGAGAACGTCATACACAACAAATAATGGTCAAAGCGAATTGGTAGAACACAAGTGCTGTTCGTAAAAAGAAAGTGTGTTAGTAAATTGATATAAAGGACTAGTGGACCCGTGAATGCTTCCCTATTGCAATGTATTACACTTTACATGCTACTGGTCACGTGATTGTTTATCACGCTTTACATTATGCTCAGAAAAAACAAAGACTAAAGACTCTCTCGCGAGTGTGGTTCCGTCTCACACACTGAGTCTTTCCCTATCTATTTCTTTCTTTCTATCTCAATATAGCTATCTTTATTGTTGCAAGTTAACATAAAACGCTGGAATAATTCAAATCCACAGAATCCCTCCACATGATTCCAATTGTAAGCGGAACTCTTTAAAGAATTATTCTTCTCAGTACCACAATCGCCGTCTTAAACGCAACTTCGTACCGATGGCTGCATTTGGCCTCGCGTGCACGAACTCCCGACGTTATTAACCCAGCCGGCCGGCCGCGGAATACAAACAGTGCGGCGTGAGGTTGAGCGCCGCCGATAAGGATTATTGGATTCTGATAAACGACCGCAGACCGAGACGCGGGCGACACACGCACAAAGCAACTGCCGAGCGCCGGGCGACCGCAGCCGCGACCCACTACGCACCGCGCGGGGCTGGTGCTCCTCGGTTTACGACACGCGGGGCGCGCGCTTTTTACTACTGAAAATTAAAGAGTAATCACGCGCCACATGGTATTGACTAAGAAATCATTTATAAATTCCCTTACCTACAACCATTGTTTGCATAAAGATAAGTAGAAATGGACAAGCGCAAAACATGTACATTAAGATATCGTTCCGGATAAAAAAAAAATTCGAAACATTACTTCGGAACATTCGAAAATATAACACGAATAAATTGCACAAAGAACTGTGAAAGTATTGCATTCCAAAAGCACCTTTGCAACAGTTAAAATAAACGACACAGGTACACATTATTTCCTTCAGAAGAGTGTGAGATGTTCAATACGGGATTCAATCTATCGCAACATTATATCGATACATTTTCCCACAGAAAATAGTTTGATGAATTGCGGTTCGAAAGTGTTGCGCAGGCTTTCGTAACGAAGACATTCAAATATTTAATGCCCGTCAAAAACTCTGCACGCCCTTACGATTACTCCCCAGGCAAAGCGACAATTGTACTACACGCTTTGTGGACATCCCCAGCGTGCCGCAGAACATGCGAGCGCGGGAGAGCGTAGACGCCCACGGCGTGAGCGTACGGCTCCGGCACGCGCAAGCGAAAGTGAACGCAATGGCTTTCTCCGCACCCCCCACCCCCCACGTGCATTCTATCGAGATGCGCTTCAAAGTTTCCTTACATGCGACCAAAAGCAACTACACTTGCTCTCACAGCAACACTGCTTCTGTAGGACAATATACCTACAAAAAGGCGCCAGCATAGAACAGCAATGGTTTCCTATACAGATTTAACAACACTCCCTTTTTCCTACAAATTATAATTTTTTTACTGATGATGTCGATAAATGTTTAAAACCGTATACTCAAGTTGACCAATATTCTTAACATTTTTCGATTAATAGAATTTCATACAAATACTACTGTATTGATATGCAGCTCTAAGTTACTAACAAGACCTCATAAATATTGTAGCTATTAATATAAATCAAGTTTACATATAATAAGAATACACTTATTATAAAAGGATTTACATTTGTTGCAAGAGGAAAGCTGTAAACGAGCTATAAATAAGTGTCGCAACTGATTGCTGAAGTTATGGCTACTAAGCAATACGTTATCTTCATTACTATGTGTCCATTACTTTCTTTCACTAATACTAGAGACAACACATCAAAGGATGCGATGTTGTAATGGAAAAATGCAGTTTATTACAAATGTTACGTTTTCCAGTTTCCTAGGTTAGTTTTAAGTAAACCTTTCACAAAAATACTGTAAAATGAAATATGCTGACTTTCCTTATTTCTATTCTAGCTTCTATTTAGAAGTAGATTTTTTTAAACAAAAGTCGAATTATTTGCTTCATTATCCTTTCTTTGACGAAAATTAGGTCGCCCAAGAATTGAATAGTAGAGCAACATCAATGACGTCGCTCAGAATCCAGTATTATATATTTGTCCATTGCTTGCACATTTTTGTCGGTTGCATCAAGGCATATCGAAGTTCTAGACATTGGGTTAGTATTGCATGCTATGTAAACTAATATGTTAGCGCATGATCGTGAATATTTGTCCGGTTTTTCCTATTGGTGCATATTCGTGTAATTATAGGCGCATATTTAGCACATTACTTCAAAAGAGAGACGTATCTCTAAAACATTCCATCTTTTAATAGAATCTATTATTTATTTGTGAGTGTTAATTGATCAGAATGAGCTTCTCTCAGTTTGGGCGTTTTCTTTCTTCTTTTCTAGAGATGATAAAATACCCATGTGAATGTAGGATACTTCTTGATATATTTTTTAAACAAGGCAGAAATCATACAAATATACGAAGTGATACAATGTACTTCATTATTTGTTCCGCGAAGTTAGATTGTATTATGTTCGCACATTTTTTTTTTCAATCAAAGCATGCTTCTCCTGAATGTTATTAAGAAAGATTGTACAGAAAATTAAATATTGTTAATTTTTATTGCATATTAAAGGACATATTTAGGTCGTAAATGCATATTATAATAAACTATTTCAAGATTTTCAGGGCATAAAAATCATCATAATAATAATAATAATAGTAATAATAATAATAATAATAATAATAATAATAAATAATAATAATATGTTAATTGCCGAAAGCTAACATCTTGAGGCCGAGTAAACAATAGCACTGCATCCGAATTGCAAGATGTGTGAACTTCAATCGCAGTAGTACACGGCCATTCCACTGCAATGACGTACGCAGCCTACAGACTCAGGGAGTGCTATCGATTCTCAATTAAGCACGCATCTACCCCTAACGCATCTCGCCGCCTGCGCCAGCACAGGTCCGTGTGCAAAGGGAGCTTCATGAAGATAACGGAAGCGCAGGATGAAAAATATCAGTACGTTAAGGACATGCCCAACCCAAGGTATGCAGAAAATGACTTTTGTCCGAAAATATCAAGAATGCGGACAGGGGAAAGCGTATAAATCCTATCAAAACAGTTTAGTTGTAAACTAATTTCAGAGCTTTCGATCATAACTCATCAGATTCGTTGTAAATTTAATAAAATGTCTCCAGAAATATTAGTACAAACGAGATAAAATAGGTATGTAATGAGATGCAGATTAAAATTAGCCCGAATAATTTAGAAAAATAAAAGTAAATTAATATGACAAATAGCAACCGCCAAATTGCTAGTGTGTAGTAGTTTGGGTTGGCGTAAAAAGTATTCAGCACGGTTAATGTTTTCAGTCCCGTAATGTTGGTTGTTTTTTGTTTGTTTTTTTTGGCCTGAAAGGAACAGTACCTAAAAACCGTAATGAATGTTTCGAGTGAACTTTCAACATCAATGCATTAAGTGATTTTTATCAGTGGGTGATAAGAGAAGAGACACAGTTTATTTATGAAAACAAATATACAGTATCAAGAAGGAATTAACGGAACAAACAAATAATACTCCTTTTGAATACGTTTTAATGCAATTTTAAACACTTAAAATTAAACAATTCTATTCACTTAGCCTTTCCCAATTAAACCAACGTAACCCAAAATATTTGCAAACAGACTATTGAACAACAAAAACACCCATAATTCCGTAAAAGTTTCCCTCAAGAATGCAGTACGCAGGGGTGATCCGAAATCCCCTCGCTGCCGGCCCACGCAAGTCGTCGGCGAACATCCCCGCTGCGCGGTGCGGGTGGCCCAACACCCGAAGAGGAGCGTCACGGCGAGAGCGAAACTCGAGTGAAAGGTGGCCAATCCGCAAGCGCGCGTGCGAGAATTCCTCTCCCGCGGCAGTCGCGTTCACCGCGGAGGCCCGGCCCACGGGAGCCGAACGTTGCCACCACTGCTGCCGCGCTCGCCGCCGTCGCCGCCGTCGCCGTCGCCGCCGCCTTGTTCCGCGAACAGGTGAATAGCCGGCCCCGGTTCCCGACTCCCGAGCTCCGCCGGTGCAATGGCAGCAAGTTCAGGGTCAGAGGATGCACCTCCTCCCGCCCCCTCCCGCGCTTATTTCTCCTCGGCTCCGCCGCGCCGCGCCGCGCCGCGCCTCGCTGCCCACGGCGCTCCCTCCCCCCGCATCCAGGGACGCCGCTCGGTTCGAACGCTCACGCGAGTTTGCTGCGGGGCCCCATCCTGCTCCCACGCACAAAGACGTTTTATCTGCAACTGCTCCGATTAGCGCTCTATCATGCGGGCGCTTTTATACACTTCATTGTGATTTAAGAAGCATTTTTATTCTTTGCAGTACAGATATTAGCAATAATTTACACACACATCTCAAAACTTTAAACAATGAGACAAAGTTACTATTACAATTTCAACATTCAATTAAACATTTAACTTACAATTGAATATTCAATTAAATTTAAATTCTTTTCAATTTAAAATTTAAACAGAATATAGTAACGTTGAATGATGCTCCCAACCGGCGGGCTACAGATCGCATTTGGTAGTAGTAAGTAGGCTGCTGTACTCTAGTCCAGAGTCCCAGTCAGAAGGCTACATAAAAAAGTGAAAGTACAATCCAGTTAGGATTAGTTAATTGAATTAGAAGCAAATTAAAATCATTTTTAAACATTAGCATTTGCTAGTTATTGTTGAGGAACATCTAGAAAAGTACCAAACTTGCACCGAGACAATCAATCGACTGTGTGAACGCGTTTCCTCAATTTTAAGTTTTTTAAAGTATGGAAACAAACTGATTATCGAAGGTGTCTTCTGACTGAAAACAACAAATTTTAAACAATATACTGATTCGGTCATGGGAGACTGTACAAAATCAATTAGTTACTTTAAATATAGTTATTTGAATTTGGACAGTTTGGTTTTGAACTCGTTACATCATGACAGCTAAGGAACGACAAAACGTGCCCTCTTCCAGAACGTTGGTATTTTTTTACTTGCGTAATAAGTGAGTGGGCCTCAAAATATTTTTAACACAGAAGGGTTGGTGGTCGGCAGAAGAGAATAGCCGCGCCGCGCCCCTTGGGAACGGTAGACGAATATAAAACATGAAACAAGCTTAAAATACGCATATTGAAATTTAACAGCAATGAGTTATGCAAATGAACTTATGGGAACAAAGATAAATGGATAAAAATACAGATCGAAATCTCTAATTTCAGTGCTCAAAGAGAACAATTACAAATGACTCTCGCCTTTCTTGCCAAATTTGTTGAGACATATCGAAAAGACTACACCCAAAACCCTTCTTATACAAATACAAATGAAATAATGCTGGATCATCTAATGCAACCATGCTCTTCGAATATTTCTCGTAAAATTCAAAACAAAACAAAGGCGAAAGCTCGTACGAATGCGTCACGTCTAACTTCGCTTAATAACTACAAGCATTAATTAAGTAATGAATCATAGAAAACATTCACACGCCTGTTCCATTATTGCGCTAACGCAAAATTCAACGCTCCTGCGTCAACACTTCTGTTAAACCTTTTCAAACGATGTAACAAACATGAACCAGGGTCCGGAAGACCCGCCATCAATGTTCCTCAATACTCTTACTATTAAGATGCAAGCACGTTCGTCGCTTATTTCACTTGACCCTTGTAACTGCTCGAGTGGCATATGGAAGTTTCAGGGACGCGGTAATGGCAAAGAAATGTCAATAAGAGATCGGACGGCATTCCATTTCATGTGGCTTTTTGGGAAGTTTTTCCCAAATGTTCGCTTTACTAACTTAAGATTAACCGAAGTTTTTATCGAACACATTCACTTCCATCTTTTGAATGTAACCCTCATTCGCAAGAAGTTCCAAAAAATCCATAAGTGGCTCTACTACTAAAGGACACATGTGCACGGAAGAATTTAAGTATTCCCTCAACAGTGTAGCTAATCGCTCTGCTCTCAGCCATACACACTAAATATAATTAGTGAAACTTCTTTCACAAACACCGCAATAATCCCTCCAGAAATTTAATACAAACGTAAATTGTTAAAATTCTCTTAAATTATCACGGTAATTGCTCGTATGTGACGTCCATGAACCATCCCACGCACTGAATACAGCAGGCGGATTAAAACTTAAATGTTTGCTCAGGCCCATCGTTACGTTTTGAATAGATGAACTGAGAAGAAGAAAAAAACTCCACTACCTATGTACTATAATGAGTTGACTGACAGCCGTGTCCTTCCCATAATCAAGCTGCCGCCGGGCAACTTCCCCTCCGTCGTGGAATATGGTGTCGCCAGAGGATCGGTATCGCAATTGCATGCTCCTCGCCCAGCGACTCGCGAAGACGGCATGGCGGGAAGCGGCCGGGAAGTCGGCTGGGGAGAAAAGCACCGCTCACCAGAGTTTGTACAACGCCGAACACCTGCGTTATCAGTGGCTTGTCGCCGCGGCGCAAGGGCCAGGGGCGCGTGTGGGGGCAGCGACCCCGCGTACCGGCGCGGCGCGAGGACGAGGGCGCGCGCACGGCGTGGTACCGGCGTCCGCCGCCGCCGCCGCCGCCGCCGCCGTCGTGCAAAGCACGGCCGCCGCCGATCGAAGAGGACGTGCGGGAAGGCGGCGGCGGCGGCGGGACGTGCGGGCCAACGGGCGCGCACGAGGGATGACGTGGCGGGGCGCGGCGGGGGCGGAGGCAGAAACAGACGGAAATAGACGCCGCTGTTTCCGACAGCCCCGTCGCCGCGGCGCCACTACCACCTGCCGACTCCACTACTCGCCCCCCTATGGCTTCACTCGGTGACTGGTCGACGAAGGCACACTCGCTCAGATTGTCACTGTGTTGGGCTGCGATTGTAATGACAATGTCAGGGGGTAATAAGCCAAAAGACCTCTGGCCTCAAAACGCTGTTACCAATCACTACATTGCATGAAATTTCAATTAGACCACCAACCTGAAAATAAGAGATATAAATAGGTGTATTTGTGGATAATCTAAATTCGAATGCAAGCTATTAAATATCAGAATTCAGCAGACAGTAAAAGTGTACACATGCACCTCGAGAAAATCTAAAATAAATAATTAGGAAAAAGTCATAATTAGAAATATCTACACGGAAGTCCGAGCCTTTTTACCAACTCGTCATAATTTCGCAACAAGCCCAGTTCAATTTCTTTCTTGCATGTAATCTAGCATTCTGTTCGAAAACGTTCGCGAAGACCCGTGTTCAGAACAATTTATGCTGCCTAGAAGTCACGAATAGAAACATCTAAACCGAGAATGTAACAAGTTGGTAGTTATATGGACGCTTAATCACTTAGCACACATATTATCCGAAGATACTGAGGTGAATGCCAAGGAAAAAGCAAGCATGCGCAAACTGGAATGAAACAGGTCATACTTTTTTCATATACTCACTAATGTTCTATCTACCAGATTCACGAATATTTTCTTCTCGAGAAAGTACTATCTCACATCAAAAATTTCAACAAAAAATCAAAAGAAAGAAAGAAGAAAAATTATTCGTAAAAAGAGGGAGGAAAGCAAAAAGAAGGAAAGAAAGAAAGAAAGAAAGAAAGAAAGAAAGAAAGGCGAAAAGATTACAGGCGCGAATAGCTCGGAAACAGAAGTATATGGGATGACTTCCGTGCTGCGACCTAATTACAGTATTGTAATTAGGTGCACGCAATGTTCCTCTAAAGCACCGAGGTATTTCAACGAAAACCGATAAACTCAGAACCCTTCATAGTTTCTGAAATCTTCCTCAAAGGTCCGACTACTTGTTTTTGTTTAAAATGTGTCTATTGTAAGTTAGTTGTGTCAATAGAACTCTCATTTCAATAGAAGAATACACAACAGGATATATACTTTTACGAGTATTACCTGAATCAGAAAGCTGCGAGGCGAAGAGAAAGGTATGCGAGCACACGTTTAGAGCACAACATAAGCCAGTTGCATCAGCAAACTTATTCGTGACTAAGCACTATAAAAATCAATACGTAATTGAGTTTCTATTAAGCGACATAGATAAGTAATTACAAGTTTTTATTATCTCACGACTTCAAATTTACAGCTTGAAATGATCAATTTTACGCAGTTACTATGCAAGAAAACACCCAAATGCAATATCGAACACCACTACAGCCTGGCGGAAAGGCAGGGCTAAAGAAAGTCTTATCAAAGTCGCAACTATCTACACAGAAGGTACGTTTAACAAATTTTCAGAAATATCAAAAGCTCTCGTGTCAAACCAAAACAGAAAGTTATGTACGTCTTGCATGTTATCCTTCAATACAATCATTATCCATTCTTTGATGTCCATCGTCGGCCATCTCTAGTCATTCTAGAATATCTGCAATTTCTTGAACTTCAGTCCGGTCGGGTACTCTCACATTCAGAAACCCCGCTTACCCAGCGTATTTAACGGGTCTGAAGTGATTCCTCGCTAATCGTGAGTACTTGAACGGGAATAAACAGTACACACGATAATAATAATATTATTAATAATAATAATAAAAGTTAAATTTTGTGCGATATGCTTTTGAGCAATTAAACTTTAGTTGAAGATTCATACTTAAATATAAGCCAGTGTTACGCCTTTTTTTAACTTCCTCGCCCTACTTCGTTAAGTAAGGGAATATTGTAACAATGAGCCGGAAATCGGCAATCTTTCTTCAGAAAC